ACTGAGGGTACCATGTACCTTCTATGATGAATGTTCTTGATTTTGAAGTGTTAAATGGATCTCCTGGTGATAAACAAACAAACAAAAGACTGTGAAAAGAGGTTTACCAACCAGCAAATGGAATGAAATCTCTGAAGAAGAAAAAAAAAAGGCAGCAGAACTGGACCAGAGCGGATTCTGCAAATCCCAGGGTAATGGGACCACTTTTGAACTCTAGAGGTCTGTGCACAAGCACGAGCAATCATGTCTACATGACCATGACCTCAGAAGCATCAGGCTCAGTCCCTGACATTAATCAATCTATCCACATACCCCTCACAGCTGTACAGCATGGTACCGTCACACTAACTTAGTTAGATGTTGACTGAGCTTAACTTGCATTGATCCAACTTGTATTCCTTTATCTCACTCTCTTTACTATATATCTTAAGGAGAAGAGCATTATCAGCCAATCAGGACTTTAAGGAAATGAGGTGACAAAATCATGTTGGTCTGACTCCAATAAAATTACCATGCTATAGTGCTGTGAATATGCTATTTAAGTAACCTAAGGTCTTTCAGTCATGCTGCTTCAGTTGTTTAGCCCTCTAAACTATTGCTTGCTATTATAAAAGATCTACTGCGATGAGATGTAGATGTACTAGTCCATTTAATGTGTTTGTAAAACTCTACAAAGCAAGAGCATGCACTCTTCCTCGACTAAATTACAGCTTGACTCAACCATTAAATGCATAATGGATGCAACTGCTGTGATGCAAATTGAATCATCTTGACAGCACACTTAGACAACATGCTCCATTCACTGCTCAACGTTCTGAGATAGACGATTCATTATTCTGTATGACGTTGTAATTTATTACAAAATTAATGGGATGATTAGACTCTTTTTGGAACTTTTGCACCTTAAAGGATAAACAACTCTCTGCTATTGGTCTCAATGTGTTTGATCTCTTTTATGTGTTGAGAGCTACCGGTATGTGGCTGGTCTGATATGGTCCCATGCTTTAGTGCAAAGCAGTTAAGTGAGCAGCCATTCCAGTGCTGGGAGTCAAAGATGCAAAAACTATCCCAGCATCCCATCAAGCACACCTACCTTCCATTGGTGTGTTGGGGTCGGGTCTGTTAGCAAACACTACGTCCACATACTCTAACTGAAGTCTCTCCAGTGACGCCCTTAGACCTGAAGGTCAGAAAAACAAAGTACAATTTAAGGCTGAAATAAGTCATTTTACGTGTTATGCTACTCTTATCTTTTCATTTCTGACTGGTGACTAGCAGCTAAATTATACAATGCATCATTAAATTAGCACTGTACACATCTTGAATGAAGAACTTTATGGGGCTAAAACATGGCATTGTGGATTTTTACATTTACAATATAAAATGCAATCATGAATATTTTTAACTTGACTTACCCTCTATTATGTGTTTTCTAGACAAGCCTCTCTCTGTTTCTGCTCTGAAAAATAAACAAAAACGTGACATCCACACATTTAAATATTATTAAGGTGAATGGTTCTATAACTTTTTTTTAACCTTGCAATTTTTAATCAAAATGTCAACTTGATATTTCTGCGAACAACAGACTTCTCTATGGTGACGTATGGCAGACTTTTCCAATCATTTAATCTGCTTAAATCCCGCCCCTTTCTTAAAATCAACAGCAGGATTGTATTCAGATCTGCTTTTATCAAATTAACAAACAATGGACAGAAGTCCCCGCCCAACTTTTTTTTTTCTTTTCTCTAATCCTTTTTGTTTGGATGTTCATAACAATACGGGAAAAAAAGAACAGTCACTACTTCCGTTTCCTCACCACTTTAATGTGATGCTGACGTGCAGTGGTGCACACATAATAATCAGTGATCTTCCTCAGGTAAATTTACTAAAGGTCACAGTTAATATGGCCACTGTTTCTGTATGTGAAACTAATTATTATCCAAATGTGAGCACAGTGGTAATTTAAACCCATTAATGTTTGATGGTGACCTCACATCAGTGCTC